GTTATTCGCAAAAAGATTTCGAAAGAGTTATAAGTAATTTCGAAATAAAAGTTGCGAAAAATTTACTCTGATAAGCGGGGTGTTACAGCAAGATTTTGGATTTGTTCATCAGTAAGCAACAAACCTAAAACAAAATGATACATAAGCAACAAACCAATAAAAAAATTATTGAAGTTAATTATTAAAATTTTAAAATTACCATCATTGTTGAATAGTCGACGTTGTCTATACAGAATGTCGTCCGACAAAAAGTGCCAACATCTTGTCCATACCTCCTCTGGTCTACCAAATGAACCAGACACCAACAATGATGCAAACATGCGTCTTAGAGAGTCTGCAGATGCCCACTGACTTGCTTCGGTTATGCCATCGATGTACTCCCTGTCATCCTCCAACAAACCCCATTCGTAGCAAGCATCTCGATATGTCATATATTGAGTCTCCCCGACCTTCATGTAGTCCTCATGACATGTTGCCCCATGAACGACATTGACCAAGCACCTTAAATAGTAATCATCTCCACAACCGGGAGGCACGTACCGCAGACGACCTACAGATGGTTGGTCTTCGTTTTTCCTAGGAGTCCACACACGCGTTTTTGGATTCCACACGAATTTAGATGGTGCCTCAACATAAGTTAGTTCCCTCGCCTTGGGACACTTTTTGTTTGCTTCAAACCACGCAAGAAACTGGCTCTCCTGTACAGATTCTTTACTGAGTACATACTGAAGATTATCATCATCACCAAAAAAACTTGATGCTTTCCTTTCAAATGGAAACTCAATCTCTGGACAGGAGGTTTTTTGTACTGCAACTCATAACCCAACAACCGCCATGCAGCCTCACATGAAGATATGTACCTGCAATCATAGTACATGTTAATCTCATCCAAAGGCTTTTCAGGTTCCCCTTCAGCAGACGTTTTATAGAATGATGCGGTCACACGATCGTGCCCCTTATTTACATATTTGAAAAGGTATTTTATCGATCGTGATTGATTGCACCACTCAACATTGATGTGAGCTCTGAATTTCATCAAAAGACCACGATTATGAGGCACGACATATCCACTGTGGACAACAACACCGTTTTTATCAATAGACCTCCCATCATCACGACGCATGTAGCGAGGATAACCTTCATCATCAACGGTTGTTGAGTCTACAAACTGTTTTGGAAACCGCTTGCTGCATTTCCCATCAACCATACACGGCGACCCTTTTCGTACCAAACCACATGGACCATGAATCATGTGCTCCTTTACTGCTTCATAATACAGAGGATCAGATAACTCATCTGGTATCTCAGCTGATATGATCCTGTCAATATCTGAAGGATTAAGGAACTTGTTCTCCTTAGCCAAAAACAACAGTATATGGGTATGGGGCAATCCGCGTTTTTGAAACTCAATTGTGTAGACGACTGCAAAAAAAAACTTATAAAATTAAACAAAAAACATTTAAGTTATGTAATGATATTGTGTAAATTTAATTGTTAATGAAAAAGATATTGGTGTATGATAAATGTTATGAAATAATATCTGACCTGCGATCACCTTGCCAAACATCTGCTTAGTACGGAAATCCCTAATCATTTCCTTAAGTTTTGCCCTGAATACTCTACAAACAATATCCGGTCGATCCTCCACTCTTAAATTCCTTGCCTCTAGAAAACGAACAATTTCCGGCCATTTTGGATTGCATGTGAAAGTAATAAATAAATCAGGATAGCCAGCCCATCTACAAATTACCATTGCATCTTGATAATTCTGAATCATGTTGCGAGCACCACCAGTGAAAGAAGATGGAACAATAACCCTCTTTCCTCGAGAACATGGTTCGGTGTCACCACGAAGAACGGCATCGACCAAACCATTATAAATTTCGCAACAGAGTTTCTTTTGATTGAACCGTATATATCGCAGCCTCGATGATTCAACCATAGTATAAGCATCAACAATAAATTGTTGATACAGTCTTCTGGCCGAGATAATAGTCGATGGTTCATGATCCCTATCATGCATTCTGTATGCAAAATACTCCCGCACACTCACGTGTTTACGTCCATCTTCACTTTCCTTTTTGCCTTCAGCAAATGGTATGTCTTCTCGATAACCATCTTCACCATAAGGCAACAAAAGAGAATACTGTAGTGCCAAATAGGAAGCATTCAACTCATTTATACGCTTCAAAAGACCACTTCTGGTTTCAACTAATATGTCCCTATTACCCATTGCCAGGTCAAAATCTCCAACAACCAATACAGCAAATTCAGAACTCGTAGGTAAGTTATAGCGCCTGGCATCATTAGACCTCCTTCCAATAAGACGCACTCTAACATTTGCTTCTCCAAGTTCTTGCATTCTGTCCCTTGCAATACGAAATGATTTTACCAGTTCGTTATGTTGGTCTAACATCTGTTTCAACCCAACAACAATTGCCTCATGCAATTTGATATCATCAGATCCTTTCCTGTAACATAGATCACAACCCACAACAAAAAATAATTTAATATTCTTCTAATACGAAACATTGTATAGAATATACTTATATGAAGATAATGATTAAGAATTAAAACACATAACAATAAAAAAATATTTATGTTCAAAAAATTAAATTATATACCTCACAGCATTAATTCTGTTGGAGACCTCGTTTTGAGTATCATATATGTAAAGTTGCACAAACTTAGGAGTAGAACCTTCTGAAGGAAGCAAACTACCAATTAGATGGTAGTTCTGTCCGTGTAAAGCAAAAACAGGTGGTCCTGATCCCTTATTGATATCCGCATCAATTTTACCGCCCATTGATGTAAAACCGAACATACTGTTGTAAGATCATATGTTTTCTTGAAAATGTTTGCTTATTTGGTCATCTCCATAAAACAAATCTTTCAAAAATTGAGGAGGATCTTGTACTGAAGGAAGCTCTACGATTCCATTAACACAACAACCTGTGTAATCCGGAAAAAGTGCATTCTGATCATGAGCTTTTCTTTCCTCGTACCAAAACTTTGCTTCGCAATGTCTACAACAGTAGCTTGCATCTCCCATGTCCCAGTATTCTTGAAAATGGAATGTAAGTAACATATTTTAGATTTAATTTTTGAATGACTAAAAATATTGGAATAATATTGATACTTTAAATTGAACAAACCAGGTATTCCTGAAGTAGACCCACGAATATTTCTAGGACGACCACGCTTTCTTTTTTCAACAATGGGCTGAATGGGATCATCTTGACCTAGATCAATAAACACACTTGCATTTTCTGTAGGACCTGTTGTGGACTGCCTCGACGACGGAAACATTGTTGGTGTAGTAAGAGTTGTATTATCATGTTTATGAGAGAAGATTGCATATTCCATGTCCCCGAATTCTAATAAAAAGAATGTTAAAGGAAAATTACTTTTATATAATATGTGAATGAATAAAATATATCACCAATATTGACATTTTAAATAGAACAAACCAGATATTCCTGAAGTAGACCCACGAATTTTTCTAGGACGACCACGCTTTCTTTTCTGAACAATGGGTTGCATGGGATCGTCCCGAGTTAAATCAATAACAACGCTTGCACTCTGTGTAGGACATGATGTGTAGTGTTTCGACGAATACATCTTTTTCGATGCAGTAAGAGTTGTATTTTCATTTTCGTCGTCACTCAAGATGTCTATAGCCATGGCTTTTGTTCCAAGAACATTGGAACGTTTTGAGCTTTCCACACGATGTTTATGTTGACCTATTAATTTATAATAATATAATTTAAAAAAATATTTAAGCAATAAAATATCATGAAAACTGAAGATGAGATAAATAAACTAAGGTATAAATGAAATACCGTTTGTAATATCTCTGAATGGCATATGATCTGAGACATTATATGAACTTCCTGATAAATTTATCATCTGTCTTTCAATGGCAGTTGATCCAGTGCGAAAATCGGGATTCACAATACCTATAAATTAAAGTGTATTAACACAAGAATCAATGGAATAAAATTGTAATTGATATCAAAATTCTTAAATTTGTCCCATACTATTACACATTTTAAATTAATAGAATTAGCAAACATAGCATATTTAATATATATCAAGTACCATAAATAAAAAATAATAATCCCATTGATTATAAAATAATAGCCCAAATTAAAATTGGGCTATAAGGTAGCCTATAACATGTAAATTATTATTTATATTATTATAAGCCCACTTATTTAATATACACAGCCCATATGTAAAATAATTATACACAACCCACTTATTTAATATACACAGCCCACTTATTTAATATAACATGTAAATAATTATTATAAGCCCACTTATTTAATATACACAACCCATATGTAAAATAAGCCCAATAAAATTTGGAAAAAAAGGCCCAAATTGTTCATGAGCCCAGGCACGCGAGAAAACTGAACATTGAATGTAGCATATAAGGGAAAACTCGTCATTTCGCATAATCATGCACAATTTATTGCCGACGCATGTACACTAATTGTCACTGAAATTGTCCAAACCCTACCATTTTTCCCATTTCTCTATCAACTTCTGTCCATTTTGTTATCTCTCTCATCTTTTCTCTAAAAATCGCCGATAACTCGCTTTATGTTATGGTTTTTTTCCGACGATGATTTTCCGAGAGAAAATGTTTCACCGGCGACAAAAAGTATTCTTTTCGAACAGATACTGAAAAAAAACTGAATTTTCTTTTTTTTTGGAAGCAAAAGAGAGATGGAAAAGTGAGATCTTACCGATTTAGAAAAACCGAATTACTAATTCATAGTATTTCGGTGCAAATCGGGAGTTTACATGCTAGATCTTCACAGATCTACAAAATTTTCGTTTATTTATTTATTTGTTTAATTTTTTCAAATTTTTTCTCGATTAAAATTGTGATGTAGATAAAAAAATATGTAGTGATTTGGGTTGACTACATATAGATCTTTGAAGATCTATAAATTTTCCTTTTTTTAAAAAAATTTTAAACCATTTTTCGATTAAAATCATGATAACTACAAAAGATAGGTAGTTATTTTTGTTGATTACATATATATTTTTGAAGATCTACAAATTTTTGTTTTTTTTGTTAATTTTTTTTAAACATTTTTGCAATTAAAATCGTTATGACATCAGAAATCTGTATAGAATTTTATATTTTTATATTTTTTTGGTTTCGCACAAACAAAGTACAAAATCGATTTTATGTATTCCCGTTTGGGTAAGCTTCAGACGTCCGGGAACAACCCGATCGTGATTTTAAGAGTTCGAAGTAATCCACTTTTGTTCTACATCGTCACAGTCGGAATTGAAGTTGTGTATATTTTCGTTCCCCCACCACGTCTTATATTTTTCTTTCATTATGCTTCAAACCTTGTTTTTATTTATTTATTTTTTTTTTTTTTTTGCAGAACCAATGGTTAAAACTGAACCCTGTTTAGATGCGTCATTATACAGTCGGAGCATGTTTAGAACATAGGAAGATATGTTTAGAGATAATGATCCCCTTCCCCCTAGTGATTCTTTCAAAAGTTGTTTGATGGTAGTATGATTAATGTGTATAAAATTAGGATGTATGTACAGTGAATCACAAAATGTATATTCAGAAGACTTATGGTATTCAACCAGAGATGAAGAACAATGGCCATACAAACAGAAGGTGTTACAATTTTGTTTGTGGTACGTATAAATCCCGTAAATATTTCAATTATACTTTTGTAACATATTTTACATGTTGTATTGTACGAAATATTTGAATCGAAGCATTCAACAGAATATATTCATGCTCGGTGGAAGAACAGAGAATCACATTGTGCAAGGTAATGCTATTGGTATCATGATATCCCAAAGATAAAATTGTGTTATACTACATATATATTGAAATAATTACTTGATAACTTGTACCGTCTGTATTTCTAACTTGTACTACCTTTTTACATGTACTGGATAATATCGAGCATGAGTGAGCATACATGGACAAAGACACAAAACAAACAACTTATCACAAATAGGAGTGCATATAGGTATGTTTACATACATTTATACAGAATATAAACTAAGTAAACCAATACTTAAATACTGAAAATATAACCTTGGGATATATTAGCCTCATTGGTTGTTTTGGTTCTTTTGTTGAATACTTGTTCTGTGGCACTCCCATTACTGTCTGTTTCTGAAAAATCAGAACTTGTGTTAGAATTTATTCAGATAAAATTATACATGTTATATAAAACTTCAATAATGTGCACATACATCTCTTTAAAAACATATTATGCACTTACTGCCCTTAAAAAATACAGAATAAACTTACTGTTTTCACATAATTATGGAAGAATTGTAGTATGAAGGTAGTAATATTACCTGTGATTCTGTTTCCTTCTTGATATGTCTTCATAAGTTTGTTGCCTTTACCGTTTGTTGCAATTGGACATCTGAATGGATCTGATGCCATTGAATCTTTTATGATATGGTGGGCACAATTCACAAACTGTTGTGTAGAGTTTTCACTCTCACAAACTGTTATGTCTTCATAATATTTATGATATGGTTGGCACACTTCACAAACTTTTGATATCACCGAGTTTGGTGAAGTATATAGAGTACTTCTAACCAAGAATATAGGAAGATATTACCGAGTTTGGTGAAGTATATAGAATACCTCTAACCAAGAATATAGGAAGATATATAACTGCCTTAATATTAGGTACGTGTGTTTAGGGTTTAATATTGATGACTTAAGAATACCTTATCATAAGAATGATTAGGATTTTCTTTAACAACCATTGATTTTATAAACACATGTTTTTATACGGCCATAGTTATCTTTTAATACAAAAATATAGGAAACTAAAAGATACAGTCAATCTTCCTTAATATTAGGCAAGTGTGTCTATCCCATACAAGGAATTTATGTGTTTTATATTGAATTATATCATGATCTTAATTAGAGATATATATAAACCTTTATATCTCCTACAGTATAGGAAACATACTGTAAATATAGAATATAATCATGTTGAAATGTTTGATTTAATTTGTTCTCTAATTAACAGTATAGGAAACATACTGTAAATATGGAATCTATTCGTGTTGAAAATATTTAGCCTGAAAAAACTATGGAACCTGTACATATGGAAAGATATGTAATATATTTGATATAACTAGTTCTCTACTTAATATAAATTAAACTTTTATATGTTCTATAGTAATTTAAAAAACAAACCATTTTTGAAAAAATATCCAATTACAATATCATCTCTAAATTAAAACTAAATATGATGACTCACATATTAAATATTATATGTTTTATTATAATAAGCTTAAAAAATTGACTTTTTGAAATTACCACTAAAATAGTGATAATTCTAAGAATTGTGAAGCTCAAAATAGTTAATTTGAACGTGGGTTTGTTATGATTATTTATGTTATAATTATCTCTAATTATTTATGTTATGATTATCTTATAATTATAAAAATGATAAATCCAAGAATTTTAGGGATAAATTTTTTTAAACTTTGTTAAATTACTTATGTTTAATAGTTATCTTAACGTGGGTTTTATCTAATATATTAGGAAATCAATTAATTACACGTGCTTTAGGAGAGATCAATTAAACGTGCATTATTAGAAATCAACATCTATTATCCAATACTTTTTTTAATATATCAAATCATATTTAAACTTTTATCAAGAAGATCAGCATCTATTCCGAACACATTGAAAGAACCTCAATATGTTATAATGGTTTTCAATGGAATAACAAACAAATATAGTCTCTAAATATGTGAAATCACATGTTTGTGTATAAATTGAGAATTAGAGAATCATAACAAAACAAAAAAAAAAATTCAAAGATTTGGAGACATAACTTTAATAATTCATTCGCAATTGGTGGATTATATTAATATATGGCTTATGATGTGATTGCACGTCTGTCATATTTTTTGCAGGATATTGCATATTCTATAGTATTTAATTTATTGAATTTTACGAAAATAAAAAAGCATCCATTGAAATGGTAATGATAAAATCTTCTATAACCAAAACAACAATATATATATGTTGCCGTTTATTCATTAAACATCCGCACTCAAAAACATGAGTATAAATCATAAAAGATCAACAGCTACAATTGCTGCAATCTTAGAAATAAAAGTCACCTTATAATTCAAAATAAAACGTCCAAATTCCAATACTTCAACAAACCAAAATGAACCTAAATAATAATAATATAATAAGTAAAGTAGAAGCCTCAGCAGTATAGCTTATTCATCCACCTTGCCCTTTCCTTTATCCATGGAAGCATTCACCTTCGACTTTCCTTTATCAGTAGAAGCAGATTGAGCTGTCAAGGCCAAAACAACTTCACTTGAATTGTTTAGTTCCTCCCAAAGGTTGCGTTTTGCTGTAGAAGTGTCACATACAACCTCTTTTTCAACAGCCACTTTCATAGGAGTGGTAACTTCATCAGCATCATCCTAACAAAAAAATAAATATATAAACGAATTTATTAGCCTTAATTGATTTACAAAAAATATAATAATTGAATATAATAAATATAACATTGGTAATATTTGAAAAATTTCTATACCTCTCCATTCTCTTCTTGTTCCCTCAAGAGCAAAGTCATAAAGTCGGATTCCTAAAGAATATAAGAATTCAAAATATTAGTGAATAAAAATTAATTATGTACTCTATTATATAATAGAGAGAGAGAGATAAATCGATAGAATAAGACAAACACATGAAATAAGTAAAATAAACCATACGGTATGCTCCACAACCCAGTGGTTGTATTTGGAGACCAGCTTATCATCGTCAACCAATCTAACAATTGAAAATGTCGAATTGTAGCCAAAATGTTGATTGGTTTGGATTCGAACTTTGAAAAGAAACGTTTTGCCCACCAACTCCTCCACCTCATCGGGCAGCTCATAGGCAATCTTTATCTATAATGCAAAAAAATAATAATAATCTAAAAAACGACTTTACATATATTTTATTTTGTATATATGAAATATTATTTAGATATAATACCCTATCAATAATCACACGCCTAAGTGCATCACAGCTGATACCAAGTAGCTTTTCGCAATCTCTATCCCAACCAATTAACGTAGCATCCGCAGTTGCATCGGAAACAACAAAAAGGATCTTATACCTAAAGATTGATAAAATAATAGTAATTACCAACTAAAAAGAATTTGAAAGAAAACTTAAATTTAAATAAAGAATATATAAATAGATAAACTATTTTAATGATTTGCTAACCGAAAAACACCCCTTTTCCCTTGGCATTTAGAGCACTCATAATGGCTTTCGCTCTCGTCCATTTTAGTACTACACTTGCGGCACGCAAGGTAGTACCACTCATCAATAACAGAATTAATAGTAGCACATATCCAAGTAGTTGTTTCCTGTTGAAAATTTTTCAAAAGAAAAACGTACGTAAGGTTTTTACAATAATATAAAACACGTACGTAATATATATTTTAAAAATTAGATTTTTAGGTATTAACTACATTATTTGTTATACATCGTCAATACCTTATCAACCCCATAAAGCGAAACAACAGAGGCGACTACCAAATTACCGCTAGCAAGTTCATCCAATTCATCACGTGCTACAATCAAACTCCTTGAAGTTAAAGAAGCATTGCGAACACTTGCAGTTGCCCACCTATTAAAAAAATACAAAATACACTATTTTACTAATTTAAGAACAAATCAATCAATATAAGACATGTATATTAATGTATTTCACAAACCTTGTACGAAATTCCTCACTTTCCGGAACTTCATTCGAAATGAGCCGAGTGATATTATGTGAAGTTGTCAATTGAACACGACCTACATAAACGTTATTTATTAAAAAACCAAAAATAGAATATTTCGAAGATAAAAAATTTATTGATGTAGACAATTTATACCATCAAATGGTTTTGCTCTACAAAAGTTAACTATCATAATCTAAGGGCGGCCATCAACTCCAGCATGTTGTTGTTCATGTTGAAGAAATTCATCAACATAATCATTCCAAAGAGTACAACTCAACTTGTTCTCCCTACAATAATTTAGATTCTAAATTAATTATACATAAAAAAAATAGAGATTAATATAGGACAAAAAAAAAAAGTAAACACTTACTCTAAGTGTTTAAAAAAAAGTAAACACTTACTCCAAGTCCATTAAATGAAAAATAGTCATTCGAGTGGGGACACCTTTGATTACTTTGATAGCAACGGGACCAATTTCCACAACAATTCCAATAACATCTACAATTATTCATAACAAACGTTTATCAAATATATATTGTATATCTATGTAAAATTAAATAGTAAAATATAAAATAAATAAAAAAAAGGGTTAAGTAGATGAACATACCAAAAAGGATGGATTCATCAACATTATTGGGATCTTTGAGTGTGATAAAATTCCTGAAATCATAACGGAAAGTAGGAAAAAATCCTCTAAACTTTAAGATTTCAGTCATCCCATGTATGACCATCTTAAATTTGTGAATGGTAGATCGTTACATCCCGATGTTACTATCGACTTGATAGTTGCGAATGGCATATACTTCGTCCTCTATAATAAAATCTTTGAATTTTGGGATATTGACAGATCGAATCATTCCAGCCATACGATGACTCTACATACATAATGGAAAACAAATAAACGAATTAAATTATAATATATAATTTAAATCTATATTAAAACGAAAAAAGAGTAATAGTAATTTTTAAAAAATTACTTCCTCATCATGGAAGACGATTTCCAAGACGTTCTTGAATTTGGCATCAAACGTGCGTTCAAATACCCTCACAGCTCTTGGTTTCAAATACGGCTTGTCAGTACGGTTGACAGACTTTAGAGAACCCCACACAAGCGGCATTTTGAAAGAGTTGAAAAAATTGTAATGTAATAAGTTGATGAAATAAGAGTACGAAATATGAGGACGACTTATTATAAATGATTAATGATACTATTTATAGATATGAAAATACACAAAGTGCCGTGAAGGCATTTATTTCTGAACAAAATTGCGTGAAAGGCTCTATATTTATTAAATAGGTAAATAATTAGAAGAACATGATATACACAGTAATAGATATATACAAATTAATCCATATAAATTTCCTTGAATATCTCTACGCATATAACAGAATGATAAGTATTGATTGTTTCATTAATCGAACAACATTTACATCTTGATTGTTTCCTATCTTTTTGCATCGGGATTGATATCAAATAAAATACCTTATTCGTCTTATCTATACAAAAGAGAATAAATCAAAAAAGGAATTGGATATGATACATGTGTACATTGTAGTGAAATATTAACTAATATATATTTCGTTAAACTTAATAACTTTTATTAAAATTAATGATTTTGATTCCAAAATTAAAGTAATGAATTTGGAAAATTAGATATCTAAATATTAAGTATT